AGCGGCGCGCTGGAACCTGAGGTCCCGGAGCGGTCCCCTAGCGGATCCCGGGCAGAAGCGCTTTGGTGGCCTCTGCTCTTCCTCGCCGCCGGTGGCCTGAGCTAGATGCGCCCCCCGCTGGTAGGTACAAGGAACAGAGGCTCGGTAGAAATACAACTTAATAGTAAAAGTCTAGGCGAAGATAGGAAGCTAGCCCAGGTTTCACTAAGAGAGACACTGGGGAGCAGAGCTGTGCAGGCTTAGTCAAGTGTTTGTTAACTCGTTATTAGGGTTAAAAGGTAAATGGAGGGTGTCCAGTTAAATAGGCATTTCAGATAAATGAATAACGTTTTCGTATAGGCGTGCCCCACACAATATGTGCAATATCACTCCTGTGGGAAAAATGATCCAAAACTTGGAAACAGACGAGAGATTACTGGCTGTTTTTCAGCTCTTTTGGGGGCTTGACTTTCTAAGGACTGGACTCTTACAATTCTGTAGGGGCTGAAGTTAACCTGTAGATTTTTGTCTGGCAGAAATGAAAATAATTTCTATTTGGTGGTCCACATCACCCCTCAGGTTATAACTGATTGTTCTGTAAAACAGTCAGTTTTGCATCGAACCCTGCAGTCCTAGGCTAACGTTCCGTATATAGCCCTAGCTCCTCATAGATTCTTTGAATGGGTCTTAGCATTTATCTGTAACCTCATTAATTAATGAATTGAATAAAATTTTGGCATATATTCATTTTATATTTGCATGAGAGACGTGATTTCATATTTTTTAAACAATATCACACTGGAAATCTCTCTGTATGCGCCCCCCGCTGGTAGGTACAAGGAACAGAGGCTCAGTAGAAATACAACTTACAGTAAATGTCTAGGCGAAGATAGGAAGCTAGCCCAGGTTTGAGAGAGACACTGGGGAGCAGAGCTGTACAGGCTTAGGAAAGTTAAAGCTAATCTTTAATTTTTTAAAATTGATTTTAAGGAAAGAGAGGAAAGGGGAGAGAGAAACATCGATTTGTTGTTCCACTTACGCATTCTCACATGTGCCCTGACTGGGGATTGAACCCACAACCTTGGTGTATTGGGACAACACTCTAACCAACTGAGCTACCCGATCAGAGCCGTTGTAATTTTTTTTAAAAAAATATATTTTTATTGATTTCAGAGAGAGGAAGGGAGAGGGAAAGAGAAACATCAATGATGAGAGAGCATTATCAGAGAATCATCTATTGCCTGCCTCCTGAACACTCCCTACTGGGGATTGAGCCTGAAACCTGGGCATGTGCCCTGACCAGGAATCGAACCATCACCTCCAGGTTCATGGGTGGACTCTCAACCACGGAGCCACACTGGCCAGGCAATCTATTTTTACTACCAAATGAAATAATTGAAAATGTAATGTATAGTGTTAATTTTTCTGCTTGGTAATGAAAATATGATGAAACACTTAGGCAACTATTATAATGAACTCTCACAAACACTCAAAAGCAATTAGGGATGATTAATCCAACAACACAAAGTTATATGCTTTTATTCTTGGCATTTGAACATGTGTAGATGAATGACAACAACTAAATTTATTGAGAACTTACCACGATAGACCAGGCACTGATTTAAGAACTTTACATATTTTAATTCAATTCTTTTTTCTTTTTAAATTACAGTTGACGTTTAATATTTTATAGATTAGTTTCAGGTGTACAGCATAATGGTTAGATAATTATAGAATTTACAAAGTAATTCTAGTTCCCACCTGGCACCATGCATAGTTATTACAATATTATTGACTGTATTTCCTTTGCTGTACTTGACATCCCCATGACTATTTTGTAACTACCAACTTCTTAATTCCTTCACCCTTTTCACTCAGCCACCCACTCCCCCTCCCATTTGGCAACCCACAGTTTGTTCTATGTATTTATGAGTCTGTTTCTGTTTTGTTTGTTCATTTATTTGTTTATTTTTATTCCACATATAAGTGAAATTATATGGTATTTGTATTTCTCTGACTTATTTCACTTATCATAATACCTTCTAGGTCCATCCATGTTGTTGCAAATGATAAAGTTTTAATCTTTTTATGGCCCAGTAATATTCCATTGTATACATACCCTACATCTTCTTTATCCCCTTGTTTATTGATGGACACTTTCTTGGGTTGCTTCCATATCTCAGCTGTTGTAAATAAGGCTGCAGTGAATGTATGGGTGCATATATCTTTTTGAATCAGTGTTTTGGCTTTTTTGGGGTATATACCCAGAGTGGAATTACTGGGTCATAAGTTGGTTCTATTTTTAACTTTACGAGGAATCTCATACTGTTTTCCATATTGGCTACACCAATTTGCAATCTCACCAACAGTACATAAGGGTTCTCTTTTTCCCACATCCTCACCAACACTTATTGTTTGTTGATTTATTGATCATAGCCATTCTGACAGGTGTGTAACTCAATTCTTGTAACAAGGCTATGAGGGGTAAGTGCACTCAGTATTACCCCATTTTACAGATGAGGACACAGAGGGGTTGGTTAATTTACCTAACATTATACAGCTGGTAAGTGGCAAAGCTGCCATATGAACTGAGGCAGCCTGGTCCCAGGACCTATACTCCTGATTTGCTAGTCCAAGATTTACTGCCTATTGTCTTTGGAATTCAACTAAAAACAAGTAATAAAACTACATGAGGAAGGCCTGGTTGGGAGGAGCTAGGAAGCAGTTAAATTATTTCTGGATGCCTTCTCTCTTTTCTCCTTTTTACTTCTTACTCCACCAGATGAAGAAGGAAACATAGTTTTCACATGGTTTCTGGGAAGGTTGCTAAATGTTCAAATGGGATAATTGGTACTAGACAAGTATACTTAAAAGTGAATATATTTAAAACAAAAAGAGAAATTTTATAGTAGATATTTAAATAAACAGCTTTAAATTATGTTATTTAAAAAACAAAACTGTTATGAAAATAAATTCATATTATTTTATATTTTAAAAAATTTAGGTTATATGGCTACCATTCCATTGTTTTTAGAATGAACAAAGAATGAATTATGTCAGGTTTTGAGGCACAAGAAAAAAAGCAAAACAATATCTGAGAGCCTGATTTGACATTTTTCATTTCACATTTGATTTACTTGACATGATCAGAGAGGGCCAATTTTTCAAATATGTTTGAGAACTTCATTCTTCATCAATTTTCTCAAAATTGACTCCAAATATTTTGATATTCAAAGCATTTTTCTTGACTCACCTTTGTAATATATATGAGCCTTTCTGATTTTCTCTTTAGTCAAAGTGATTCATGAAACATCACTTTGCAGCTTTGCAACATTAGTAATATTACTTTGCAGTTTATTTTAATTTTGTATATTTACACTGGATGTTTCCAACATCACCACTACAGAGACTAACCCTTCATGATTGAGGATGAGTGCTAGCTTTCAAGGGGACAAGGAGGGTAAGAGATGTTTGAGGGACAAATTTTATAGTCGTTAGGTCATTGTTGCATGATTGTGGGATATGAAGGTTTTTCCTTACCTACTCAACATGATTTCTGTGGGACATCACAAATAAAAAAATATACCTTATTCTTTTGTTTTTCTATCAAACTACAGAAACAAGATTATATTTTGGCGAGAATCAAATGACATGGAAGAGTACACAGGAAAAACCTATCCTTATTTCCTTTCCCTACTAGGTATTTAAAACATTTTTTTATTTTATTTTATTTTATTTTATTTTATTTTATTTTATTTTATTTTATTTTATTTTATTTTATTTTATTTTATTTTATTTTATTTTATATATCTTTATTGATTTCAGAGAGAGGAAAGGAGAAGGAGAGAGAAAGAGAGAGATAGAAACATCAAATGATGAGAGAGTCATTGATCAAGCCGACAACCCAGGCATGTGCCCGGACCAGGAATTGAACCCTGATCGTCTGGATCCTAGGTCGACGCTCAACTGCTGAGCCACGCCCGGCCGGGCAAAACATTTATTTTTAAAATAGGAACACTGAAATGGTATCATTTAGAAATTCAAATTAAGAGACTAAAAATGACAGCAACAAAACCAAAAGCAAGTAGGAACAGAGATTTAGTGAAGATAAAATTTGAAATTGTGAAATAGATTTTAAAAAATTAATAAAAAGTAAATAAAACAAAAAGCTAGATTCTTGGAAAAGATAGTAAGCCTGATTAAAGAAAAGGAAAAAGGTTAAAAATATAAATTTGGGGATGTAAAAGGGAATATGAACATAGACATGAAAGAAATCAAAGAAACCTTTTAAGATAATATTATTTGTAATTCAGTGGCAATAAATTTAAAATCTAGAGAAAACAACTTCTGGCAAAATATAAATGAACAAAGGTGACCCAAGGAAAGAAAGAAAACTGAAAAAGACTTATAAATATAGAAGAAATGGAAAAGATTGATGAAGAAATACTTTTTAAAAAGCTACCAGGCCTGAGTGATTTTTACTGCTGACTTTTTTCTAATCTACAAAGAATGGACAATTACTGTATTTGAACAAGACTGATTCATAAAATAGATAATAATAAATAAATTATGGGAAGACTCCTAATTTATGAAGCTAGCATGGTTTAAATACCAAACCCTGATAAAAAGTACCCCCCCCCAACCCTTATGAATACAGATGGAAATATTTAGCGAAAATATTAACAAATTGAACCCATCACCAAACTGGAAGAAGATCATAGCAAAGTAGAATTTATTACAGGGTTATAAGGATAACTTCCCCTGTTGCTGACCTAGATGACCACTCAATAAAGCAAAAATGTTAATAGAAAAAGAGCAATAAGCAACAGTGTCCAGAGGTTTAAAGCAAGTAATTAAAGTAATTCCTGTAATACACTCACAACCAAGAATTACTCTGGATAAAGTGCAATTACGTTAGATTCACCAAGGATATTCATAACATTTGCCTATAGTAAATAAACTAAAATTTACTATTTAGTAACAGATGAGCCTTTATAAGCCATATAACCATGTAATGATATCAATAGATGTTAAAATCCAGCCCTTTAGGAAAAGAATGTATGGGGTGGAGCAAAAGTAGGTTTATAGTTGTGGGTACACAAAACACAGAGTTTATTCTTGTATTATTATTTATTAATTATTGTATTCCATATGAACAACTGTAAACCTACTTTTGCCCCACCCTGTAATAGTACATTTCAGAAAGTACATTTCAGTTTTAAGCTTTAACTAAATTATAACCAAAATAAATAAGACTGCTTTGAAAAAAAAAAAAAAATTGGTAATGGCTTTAATATAAATTTCATAAAGGCAAAGTTAATATTTTTTATTAACATATATTTGCATTTTAGGGAATTTTTAACAGTTTTTTTTACCTTGATCAAATATTCAATTTAGATCTGAAAATTAAGAAAATATCCCCATTCAGATGTAATACTATTTAAGTTTGAATATGAGAAAAACGTGATGAAAGTATTTTGCTTTTCATTTAGAACTGAATGG